GTAACAAAAGAGCGCTGCACAAAAGAGAGCTGTAACAAAATAGCGCTGCACAAAAGAGCGCTGTAACAAGAGAGCGCTGTAACAAAAGAGCGCTGTAACCAAAGAGTAACCTAAACTAACCCAAACTGACCCATCCTCGGAATGCGACCCAATCTCTGTTTCCGATTTTCATCAAATTGCTCAAACAGAAAATGAATACAAAATAACCCAATCTAACCCAAACTAACCCGTCTTTGGAATGCGACCCAATCTCTGTTTCTGAATTTCGTCAAATTGCTCAAACAGATAAGAATACAAAATAACCCAATCTAACCCAAAATAACCCGTCCTCGGAATGCGACCCAATTTCTGTTTCTGAATCTCATCAAATTGCTCGAACAAAAAATGAATACAAAATAACCCAATCTAACCCAAACTAACCCGGCCTCGGAATGCGACCCAATCTCTGTTTCTCAATTTCGTCAAATTGTTCAAACAGATAAGGATACAAAATAACCCAATCTAACCTAAATTGACTTGTCCTCGGAATGCAACCCCATCTCTGTTTCTGAATCTTATCAAATTGCTCAAACAGAAAGTGAATACAAAATAACCCAATCTAACCCAAACTAACCCGTCCTCGGAATGCAACCCAATCTCTGTAATTGCTCCAACAAAAAATGAATACAAAATAACCCAATCTAATCCAAACTGACCCGTCCTCGGAATGCGACCCATTCTCTGTTTCTTAATTTCGTCAAATTGCTCAATCAGAAAATGAATACAAAATAACCCAATCTTACCCAAACTGACCCTTCCTCGGAATGCGACCGAATCTCTGCCCTTTTTTACTTAATTCATCTTTTTCAATTTCAGACAGCGCTGTTTTGTTACAGCGCTCTTTTGTGCAGCGCTTTTTTGTGCAGCGCTGTTTTGTTACAGCGCCCTTTTGTTACAGCGCTCTTTTGTGCAGCGCTCTTTTGTTACAGCGCCCTTTTATTACAGCGGTCTTTTGTGCTGCGCTCTTTTGTTACAGCGCTCTTTTGTGCAGCGCTGTTTTGTTACAGCGCTCTTTTGTTACAGCGCTGTTTTGTTACAGCGCTCTTTTGTTACAGCGCTCTTTTGTTGCAGCGCTCTTTTGTGCAGCGCTCTTTTGTGCAGCGCTCTTTTGTTACAGCGCTCTTTTGTTACAGCGCTCTTTTGTTACAGCGCTCATTTGTTACAGCGCTCTTTTGTGCAGCGCTCTTTCGTTCCAGAGCCGGAAAATACATCCTCGAAACCAAAATTAGATTAGAGTAAGTAAGCCCTATTCCCCATGGCTCACTTTTGCAATTAGAGCGTTGATGAGGGAAAGGGATAAGGCTAGATGCAAGGCTAAAATGAATAAAACTGCAGAAAATCTTGATGAATATAAAAGACTACGAAATTTGACTAAAATATCAATACGTAGAGAAAAGTCAGCATACCTAGACTATTTAGAAAGGCGGAAAAATTCCAAAAAAGTTTGGCAAACTTTAAGGGATTTAAATGTTTATATGCCAACGAATAAAATCTCAGATATTCCTCCAGCACTGGCAGATTCAGAAAGAATAAATGGGTATTTCTGCAGTGTTTTTCTAAAAACAAACAACTGTATTAGTAGAATTTTGTATTATAATGGTAATAGGAAAGATGATCAAATTAAATTTACTTTTGGCATGGTGCTTCCATCTGAAGTTTGCAAGTACATCATAGTATGAAATCGAACGCAGCTGGTATTGATGGCATCACCCTACAAATGTTGAAACAATGTTTACATGTTGTTATACTGCATATTACCCACATTCTAAATTGCTGCCTTGAGAGGGGATACTTTCCCAACCAGTGGAAAGATTCCATTGTCTGTCCCCTGCCCAAATCTTATTCTGAACCGGTTAATTTCTCGGATTTGAGACCAGTCAGTTTGCTTCCTGTTATTTCTAAAATTTTGGAAAAAGTAGCACATGCTCAGATAACAGAATATTTCAATAATAATAAGTTTTTTCCAGTACACCAGTCAGGCTTTCGGGGGGGTCACAGCACAACCACAGCTCTCTTGAATATTACCGATAATATTGTAAAAATACTTTACAAAAAGATGGCTGCTATTTTGGTTTTGTTAGATTACTCTAAAGCATTCGATGTTATAGACCATATGATCTAATATGTGCCAAATTATCTTTTTATGGGTTCGATGAGAGGGCTTGTTCTTTTTTTGGGAGCTATTTGAGAGATCGTCGACAGTTTGTCAGGTTGCATGGAAACATCTCTCAGCCAAAAAGTGTTGTCTCAGGGGTACCCCAGGGGTCTATATTGGGACCGTTGTTGTACATTATTTATACAGCAGATATGTTCTCAAGTGCTTCATTTTCTCATATTCAGTCATATGCAGACGACACACAATTGTTGTTTAGTTTTGATCCTGATTATCCGGAGGCATCTAAACATTCCGGTATAGGATTCGGCACCTAGGCATATTTCATTGGTCCGTTTGAATTCGGACCGCCAATTAATGCGGAGTGCCAAAATCCGTACTTGAATGTTGAACGGTGCTGAGCCTCAGGTCGGAATGGTATATACATATACTATGTGGAGTGCCGAATCAAAGGTCAAAATGTTAAACAGTGCCCTGCTGCAGGTTGGAATGTTACTCCGTTAGCGCGGCACAAAATCAACAAACAAACTTTATTTACTTTTTGTTACACATCTATTTTATTTCAACGACACATTTCAAAAAATCTTGGACAATAATTTGCAGTGGCGGATCCAGGGGGGGATTATAAAAACCTGAAACCTGGCAAATTAGAATAGAAAATTTTGAAAATAAATACCCTAATATATCTATTTTTTTTTTTTTTTTTGGTATCTGTGGTCTTAGTTTAATTAAAATATCAATTGAAACCAGGCAACAGCAGTTTTTGGATTTTCCTTTCTTATTATTTCCTTGATCCACTTTTTTATAAGCACTATGATGGCATACAAAAACATATCTAAAAAATGTATTTTCCAAAGTCTATTCGCATCCAAGAAGATTCTACGTCATTGAATTTACGTTGAACACAAACCTGCATTTGAATCTGTTATAATTATTTTTCGCTGACTTCACATTCTAATTCGTGTATGTTATATCACTATACTCTTCTATCCATTACTTTATATCGTTTTCCTCAAAAATGTTGGCTCGGTAAATTTGCTCACCACATTGAAAATGTTTAAATGATCTAGGCAAACTCATCATCTTGCATGTTTAAGCACAAAAACACATGAAGCATCGGCGAAATAAACCGCATCCGCCGCAAAATTGTAGCTAAGAGGAACACGAAGGAGGTGGACAGCTGATTTAATATAAAAACCGCACCAAACGCATGGCAACATTCGGACCTGATACTCAGCACTGTTTAACATTTTGACCTTAGATTCGGCACTCCACATGGCTGTTGCTAATGGACCATTCTGACCTGAGGCTCAGCACCTTTCAACATTCAAGTACCGATTTCGGCACTCCGCATCAATTGGCGGTCCGAATTCAAACGGACCAATGAAATATGCCTAGGTGCCGAATCCTATACCGGAATGTTTAGATGCTATCCGGAGCAGGCCGCGGAGCTCTTGAATTTGGACTTGTCAAATGTAGTCAAATTTTCAAGGGAGCACAACTTGAAGATTAATCCCAATAAGACTGAAATATTGCTTTTTTGTTCGGAGGGCAAAAGAAATAGTCTTTTAAATAGGCTATCTAATAGAAATTGATGGAGAGGTATTAGTATTTGCAAATTGTTAAAAAAATTTGTGCATATATATATAGACATAAATTTATCCTTTCAGAAACATATTTCAACTCTTTTAAAAAAAAGTTATATGAAAATGAAACTGCTATACGCGAATAGATATATATTAAACTTTAAAACTAGGAAAAAATTATGTGAAGCTCTCATTATGTCTATATATTCTTATTGTTTTATAGTGTACTACCCATTTTTGAATGCCGTTACTAGGAAAAGAATTCAATTGTCCAAAATACTTGTTGTAGATTTGTATATAAATTAAGAAAGTTTGATCATGTTTCTGCTTATATTAAGGCGTTGGGTTGGCTCAAATGTGATAATAGTTATAATTATAATATTACAGTATTTTTAAGAAAGTTAATAATGACCAAAGAACCTATTTATTTGTATGAAAAACTTACTTTTAGAAAGGCTGTGCATAGTCGTAGTTTAAGGGATAAAAATTTTCTAACAATGCCACATCATAGAACTTCAATGTTTCAACGGGGTTTTACTTATAATTCTGTGAAATATTTTAACAAATTACCTGGGCAATTTAAAGAGTGCAATTTTAGTTTAGATATAAGCAACATTTGTTAGCAATACAGTAGTTTATATAAGTTTCGTAAGGAATAAATTCCTCGAGTAGTATTGGAGCTGGATGTAAATGTTCTTAGGGCTTTAGTGTTGTTTCTGTGACTAGGTATTAGTGGGTCTGGTGCAAGTGGTTAAGTGGAAGAATGGCCACAAGGTTAAACTTTTTGCGCCATTTTGCACCCTTCGCGATGTATAATCTATGTACTTATTAATTATTAATTATAGTATGGTATGTATACATTTCGTGAAGTTAAATAAAGGCGATATTTATTTATTTATTTATTTTATTTAAAATTCGGCCATACTTTTTGTACATGTGAACAAATGTTTTGCAAATAATTTCACCACCATTTTATTTAAAACTTTTCTCTCACTAATTTCACACTTTATCTTTGGTGAGTAGCGTATCTAAAAACGATGCTCGATTTTAATAATCACTTGAGAGGCGGAAATATTTTCAAGAATTGGGTAATTTCAACGATTTAATGGCTGCTAAATTTCTAGAATAAAATTAGGTACCTACTCATTATCTGGGTGGGTTGATCAGAATTTTTGGATATTAATTATACCCATATTTCATTCTGAATACATGCATATGTATTAAAATTATTTGTTTATTAACACACTAATTATTAATTACAGGTACTTATCCTTTGGCTTTCAACCTTGGATGTTTGCCGTTCAATTATGGTGGAATTTGGAACGAGTAAAGGTCCCATCTTACCGAAGGAACCATCAAGAAGCAGCATTCAGGTAATTCAGTACATAAAAAAATACCTACATAGTAATAAATTAGGAAATTTTTCGTGGCTAGATTTAGGATACTAAGTATATTAATAATTAGTGGGGATACAGCCAAAATTTTTTTTAAAGAAAAACTCTCTTTTCTCCTAAAAGCTTTCGTGAATGTTTATTCACTTCTTCAGTTAGAAACTAAAATATAAATGTATAAATATAATAAGAAAAAATAAACTTACAAATTGAGTTAAACAAATTTACATTTATGCATTAATTTGAATTTTGTGTTCAAATTTTTTTCAATCGTATCCCCACTTATTATTAATATAGTACATAGTAATATAAATGTTTCTAATAACAGGTAATTGAAGTATTTGAAATAGGTACTCAGTACCTTTTCCTAAATACTGAATATAACAACAAAAAGTCGGTACAATCGTCAAAGTACAAGGCAAACTTAGATACATATTTGAATTTAACCGGAGATTAATAATTTAAGCGCAATTTTCAATCATGGCATAAATTTAAAGTTGGTGTCAAATGATAGTTTATGAGAAACTAAGACCAGAATGTATGATCGGTTTGGCTGTAAAATTACCTGTTCAGGTTTTACAGTTTGTCAAAGATGCAAAAAAGTCAATTTTCAACTGTCAATATTCCCGAAACAGTTGATGATAGGTATATGAATGTACGTGAAATATTGCTAGAATTTTCCGCGGAATCCAGAAATGTCATAATATACAGGGAGAGTCATTTAAAAAACACAAAGTAGTGGTGACACAAACCACCACTACTTATTGGGCCACCCTGTATGCTGTAAAATAATTTAGGACTCTAGTAATCGTTTATCTACAAGTTTTGTATTTAGTTTTTTTTTTCGATCTCCGTTAGTATAGGAGATATGGACCAGCGCGCGCTATATACATATAATCCATTCAATAGTCCTTGTGCCCGTATTACATCTGTGTATTTTTCCGTGTATTTATTCATGTATTTTGAGGTGCCAACATTATTTTGTTTTTCATAATGCTGATTTATGTTACGTTTGAAGTTTTTCGGTTTTCACCCTGAACTACAATGAATAAATACACGGAAAAATACGCAGATGTAATACGGGCATTACTGCAATGTGTCCTGTGTTTGAATGTGATTTTAAAATTTTGATGTTTTTTCTACCTTTCTAATGCTTTTTCAATAGTTTAACTTTTTTTTTTAATGTCTGTCCTACGAAATACGAAGTCTACCTACCCAAACTACTTTGTGATACATGAGCAAATTTGCGCATTGAGGTTTTCTAACCTTGAAACAGTGTAGCAATTCGCCCCCAAGTACACTATATAAATTTAGTTAGATGGTAAATGGCGAGCGGTATATTGATGGTGTTTATATACTTGGAGCTTGCTATCTAAAATCTGTGGAAGAGGGTCTACTTGCAAGAGAGAGAAACAAACTAAGGAGGTGTACTAAATTATATTTTATTTCACATAAAACTCAAAAATCAATTAGCCAAATATCTCCCAATACTTTACATCCTTCTTTAAGTCTGTAAAATTAATACTTCACATCCGTTCTATATTGTTATTATACGGACCACTGAAATATGCCTACTTAATACGAAACGCCCTATTCATACTATTTCTCAAAATAATATTTCTATTTATTTTACTACATCGAAATCATTCCTAATAACTACCCTTTACCTAGTCAAATAATTCCTTAAAATCTCTAAGTCCATTACTTATAAAAACCCAAAATAATTACCTATTTGTTTAACAACGAATTTATTCTCATAAGGTCTTACAATAACCCCTACTTGTAAAATAAACTCCCTAATTCAAAATTCATTCCATGGACAATACATTCTTTTAACGGCTTTCCCATATTCTAAGACAATTCTATTTCATGAACAAATTCTAGTATAAGTTTCCTTTTAACAAGTGTCCAATATTTTAAGAAAACATTTCTAATTTATGTCATCAAATTTCTTTTCAAAATTTCCTATTGCAGTTAATGGTTTATCAGAACAATTTCAATTATAAGTTTCCTTTTTAACAACATTCCAATATTTCAAGAAAACAATTCTATTTTATGTCATCAATTTTCTTTTCAAAATTTCCTATTGCCGTTAATAGTTTATCAGAACAAATTCTATTTTCGGATTCCTATGCCTAGCTAATAAATCCAACTGTTTAAGTCATAATTCCAACTCAAAACTGAATATTGTTAAATGCATTGTAAGTACTCTTCATATTTTTGTTGCACATTTAAATGTCATTAAATCTGAAGTCTGAGGGTAATTGAGTTATGCAATAATGTTCCATTTATAAAACACTCAAGCTACTAATTTCGTTGTAATAAAGTTCCACTGTTAAATTAAAAGTCAAAAGTTTTTCTAGTAGTGCAATCCTCAAGTTTATAAATTCAAAAGTACTTCTAGTAAAATTTCACACAAAGTCATGTTCATCAAAATAAATCTTGTCACTATAAAGTACTTACATTTTGTCCATAAAACAAACGTAAAATTATTTAATTAACTACTCAAAATATTTAGCTTCACGCACATAATTGATTGAACGAAATTTCAACTGTTATTACTTTCTCGATTTTCCGTAAATTTTCTAAGTTAATTTATACCCGAGGCCATAAGCCATAAAAGAAACTTTTCGCGAACCTGGACAGACTTTACTTCAAATGGACGACTCGACTCTTAACTGGCAACTATCAACTGGGAACTATCTTCAGATAACTGGGAACTATCGTCCGCGAGTTTTATATCAAATCGCTCTCCCCACAAAATTATTATTAAATTTCCCCCAAATCGTCAATATAGGCGGTCGTTAACTTAGGAATCCGAATTTCATTGGACGGCCTCATTGTTATTAAAAGAATGATGCAATTTCCTTGAATATTATATCATTTTTGTAGCCCAAAAATCGACTAATTATGTCGCAATTATCTGATTTATTGAGGTCAAGACGTTTTGGGTTCAAGAATCCATAATTCATTCGACTCAATGTGTGTTAAACGGAAAGGCCTTGGCTAAATAAAGTTCATTGAATCGGATTTTAGGATGACACCACCTCGGTTTTATCAGTTTTTAAGAATTTAATTTAGATGAACGACTTCCGGGTGTCGCTATACGATTGCTTAGTTGGTTTTTATTTTTTAATTTATCGACACAGATTTAAAAATACCGGAATTAAGTTTTTGATTGTTTGATTATTTATTTAATTTTTACAGTAAAGACTTTGTAATTATAGGGTCAAATTTCTGGATCATCACATCCCTCCGCCCTTTAAAACCGAAATTATATTGAATAAGATAATTTCGGACAATTCTTATTCAATTGTCCCATCAAAGTATCGAATTTCACCATAAATTAGGTGCCTGCCTTGTAAAAGGTTCGGTCGGTGAACCCTCTGTGAGTTATGGGTTACTTTTCTCAATTTCAAAAATTTCACGATAATATTATCCGCGTATTTATCAGATCGTTCAACCTAATTATGTACGTGCTTTCCCTATCCTAAACTTCACATTAAAAATATCTGTTATATTTCAAAATTTTACTAAAACAACAAAAGTAATACGAAATTAATTTTTTCTGCGTAATTTCGCAACTTCATGTACAAAAATAATTATAAAAGCATAATTATGAATCTTTACTCAACACTAAATTTTATCCTTGCATCAAAATTTTTCTTAATTTTTCTCCATTAATACAATTTTCATTTAATATTTCCCCTCAAAATTGTTGATGCTAGAACGACACAAAACAAATTTCAATCTTACAAAATAATTACCCGTGCTTGTAGCAAAGTTTACTTGAAGCGCTGGTTACTCATTAGGCCTATATTGATTGGGCCTATATTGCGGTCTTCCACTACGACTCATTGGTTAGTGGCCTGTAGTGTCGCTGTCAATCTCACAGTAGTAGGTATCATAGCTAGGCTAGCTGCGATCTGGATGCTGATACTGCTCAAGGGTGGTCTCGCTAGTTTGCTGGTTATACGTTACACTTACACCCTTTTTGACTTTTTCACTTTTCACAACACTTCCCTCGTGGTTACTGGCTCTGGTTGACTACTGCTACCATGGTCTTCGTGTTTGCTCCTACTGGCTCATCGGAGTTTCATTACTAGGACAACACTGTCCAAATTTTCCATTTCAACATGGATACGTAGTGGCGGAACGAATTCGTCGTTCTCTTGGTACCTGTTATTTTCTGATGGCATGTTTCTAGTGTCTAACAAATCTTATACAATTATTTCCCTAATCACCTAAATTACGCCTTTAAATCAATGAATTCTTACATTCGATTCTAATTTTCTTATTCTTAAATTTTTATAGCTAACATCCTTCCTTATGTAATCTAAATTTTTCTCAATTCCTAGTTAGTTATACATAGATTAGACATACTCGGATTTTTCTACATTTTACAGCTTTTTCATTACATAATCCTTAAATCTAGCGGGCCATTTTATGTCCCGTGTCCTCGTACTTCTTCGTACTTCCGGTTCGTGTTCCTCGACCTCTTCTTCTTCCTCTTCATCTTCTTCTTCGGGATTTTCTTCATTTTCTTGAATTATATTTTCTTCCATTTCTCTACGCCTGACAGGTAATTCTTGTCCCCGTGCTAAAAATTCATCTTCTTCTTGCGCCCTTATTTCCTCATTGACGCCATTATTTTCATTTTGATCGACGATTTCTTCATTCTCGTCTCTTGCCATTTCCCTGTGGATTAGTGGAAATTCTATAATATCTTCTCCTCTGGGTAGAACCTCATTGTCCTCCTCTTCTTCGGATTCACTATCTCCGTGATCTGGTGTAGGATTTATCATTCTATCCTCCAACCCTTTACATGGTTTGAGCCTTTCAGCATGTAATATCTGCTCTTTCTTTCCATGCAACTCCTTTATTTTAAAGGTAACCGGTCCTAGCTGTTGAGTAATTCGACTCGGTCCTGACCATTTACAACGGAATTTTGGTGCTAAATTCCTCCCTGGTAAAACTGGATT